GGGCGAGCTATTTATAAGTCGGGGGCGGGCGGGGATGGGGGCGGGTGCGGGGCGTCGGCAGAGAAACGTGAGATAAGGCTCTTGCCCCCTCCCCTTCCGCCGGGCACATGTCGCGCTGAGTCGCCGCGACTCGGGTTTCCCCCGCGGAAACCGAACGCCTCGGCGACCTGGCGCCGCGCGCTGATCGCCGTCTGTCACGGCCGACGCGTTTCACATCGCGAAACCACCTGGACGCTAGGCGAACCAGGAAGGATGGCCAACTTCAACACGTGGCTGACATTACGTGTCCACGCTGGCAAGAAAATGTTTCATACATTTGTGGTTTCCATTGTTTATATATTCATATGCTTGGTTTTTCCTCCCGTCCATTGTAAAGGACAACATTCCTTCACAGAATGGGTCAAGCTTCTGTATATGCAGCGCGCTCCACAACTTTCGAAGCGGTGAAACTTGTGAGCGCGCAATGAAACAATAAAACGTGAACAATATTTTAAAATGAACTGAAATTTTTTTTCTCAAAATTTAATTGGTAGCTAAGTCGTTTTGGTGATCGTTCTGCTGTTCATAAACGTGTGCCTCCGCTACGTCCTATAACTATAATGTGAATATTAATGACTCATAATTTTAGCGAGGCGATGAGAAACATGAAGGACTCACTGACAAATAATTCTAAGCCACACTCTTGGACATCTGAAATACACCTCGTTTATCACAAGTCGTACTAATTCAGCACGAGTCGATTGTCACAAGTCGTAGGAAAAGAAAAAGAAAGATGAAAAGCCAAATCCAGAACTCTGACTTCGTGAGTTTTAAATTATGAATTCTACGGTTCCAACTTTCTAATGTAATTTGCATTCTTGAAAAATATTCCACGCGTAATTTACTCACAAACTAATTAAATTTGTTTACTGTTTGTATCATTCGTATCGAGAACTCGACATATTGCTTCGTAAATCAGATCCTACTTGTAAATCAATGCCTATTGCCTACATTATCCAGAACTGTGATAATCGAGTTAGTGATTTATGATAGTGATCATTTCCGCTTTAAAAATAGCAAATGATTAGCAAAATTTTAGTTTTCATGTAAGCAGATAAAACTGTTATATAACTGTTGACCTGGAGAAGTGGTTCATCGAAACTGATAAACGTGGAATATTCACAACATGCAATAGCTATCTTATCTGAAATTCAAGATTGGTGACAAGATGAACAAGTGTGCTAATTGTAAAGCGAGAACTACGAGAGATATTAGAAATTTAAGTATAGTACTGGTATTATTTCAAATGCAACATTTAAATTATTATTAATCGTGTAATTACAATTAACTGCTCCAGGGGCACTACTCCAGGGTAGATTACTCTAGTTAAACAGAAATGTGAGCTTTATAAAAATTTGACAGACGAAATGATCGACAAAAAGAGAAAAGGATACATACGGATTAATAGTATGCAAGAAATACTTTAAAAAACTTAAAGATATGTAATATAGTGTAACTAAAGGCCAAACTTCATTTCCGCCGATTCTATAGAATCGGCGGAAATGAAGTTTCTTAGAACCATAGCAGATTATACACTTTTTGATCACAAGAAAAGTGAAGAAATCAGAAACGAATTAAACATTTTAAGTGTGAATGACATAATAAAGAAAATAGAGAAAAATGTAAAATCATCTATTAAGAATACCCGATAAACCGATAGTCAAAATTACCTTGAATTAAAAGCCGAAAGGGAGAAGGAATGTGGGAAGACCACTGAGAAGATGAACAGACATGCGGCCCGCGACCCGCCAGTTGGACAACCCTGGTATAGTTCATTTATAGACTAATATGAATATATTTCTCTACGAATAAAACAGTACCCAAAATTGAAATTAAAGAATTGAACTGAGGCAGACTGCCAGTCTATATTGCTTCTTTACGGAGACGCATACATTATTGAAAGAGATACTTGCCTAAAGTCTTGGATACTATCAGATGCAGAAAACAATATTTAATTTCTTACCATCCGCCAGTTTCTTTCATTTTCTGGTAGAGCACGTACAGTAATACTAGCCACATTTTTAAATCCACTTGCCTCAACAATTGCTTTAATGTTAAATGAATATTCTCTAATTCCCAATTTAATATTCTTCCTACGTTAATATCAGAAAGAATCCACTTGTATTAATCATTCAGATCCAGCAACTGATTATCCCGTGATTCATTCTTGTAATCTTGCTATTTTTATCCAATACATCACATACACTGGTTTCTTTTTTAGCCAGCAAGCTATTTATACACGTTAATCACTCAACCCTCTGTTCTGTTGAAACAAAGGAAGGGTGTCATAGGTCCGAAGAAGGCAATTGTCAGTTGGTATGGCTGCGTCAGTTGTCATACCAATTGTCAGTAAGCCTGCGTGATCCACTGTAAGGCTGAGAGGCCCAGTTGTCTCAGATAACAAACGCCCGCAAGGCTCTTCGGATGTAAGGAGTTCGTTCCATACGTTTCCGAGAGATAATCCATGAGTAGAACCCATAAGTAGAAAGATTCCATAAGTATCAAGAGAACGCAACACTAGGAAAACCTTCAGAACAGTAAATATTGTTTTATTGTTGTAATTCTATAAGTTCTTGTGAAGAGAGATGCTCGAGAGTGATGTGGTATGTGAAATCTCATGGCTTCTTGACGAAAAAAATGCTAGGAGGAGGACTATGGCTTATAGGCCCTCCCTACAGTCCAGATTTGACACTGATCGACTACTACCTCTTCTCAAAACTGAAGAAAAACCTTCGGGGAAGAAAAGTTTCTGATGTTCATGAGGTGAAAGAAGCAGTTTTATTCCATTGAACGAACAAAATACGAGATAATTTTTTTTTAAAGCAATTGAATGTTAATACACTGACTTGAAAAGTGTTGAAGTAAATGACGATTATATTGAATAGTGACATAATTTACTTCCTTGTATCACAAAAGAAAAGAGGCCAAAAAGTTATGGATCCTACCTCCTATTACTCTCTGCTACGTTAACTTGAAAGCAGCCAAGCAACCACGATGCAAAGCTACTGACGATGCACAACCCATCACGAAGGGGCATCAATAATTTATTTGTCGTTTGTGTAAAATGAATGAAGTCTCAACAACTATTGAAATAAGTATGTTCTCTGATGAAATTGACACTAAAGCGTATAAACAATTTAATAAAACAATAAATGACGCTTTATGAAGTAGCAATGAGTTTGCTACAATTAATTCGCACGATTTCTCTTGCAGTTTGTTCACTTTTCCTCCCCCTGTTCATCCAGACGTGGATCCACGGGAGGGGGGGGACGAGGGAACCCCCTTCCCCCAAAATAGTTACGAATAGGAATCATGATTCTCGCTGAATTTTGACCCCGCAGTATGTATGGAAATTTCTTCGGCCGTTTTTGAGAGACGTGTGACGGTTCATATCTCGTTCTTACTCCTCGTAACAAGCGGTTCTACGGCAACTTCCTCGTATTGGACTGTGGTCGACGCAACCGGAAACAGCGTTGACGGAGTAAGGTCTCTCTCTAGTAGGTGCCAAGTGAGTGAGCCGCTGTGCCATTTCCTGCAATTACAGTGTGCCCGAAACAAAAGAACAGGGCATGGATCGCTTACATGCGCCTGGAGACGGCGCCGTAATACGTACTTCAGAAGAGAAAGAAAATATCTACAAAGAATAAGAAGAAAAGAATAAGAAATCTAATGAAAAGAAAAAGTAGAAGAGGCTTGACACATATTTTGTGGGATTCTGTCTACTTGCTTCAGTCCTGGACAGTACGTAAACGAATATTCAATTTGAAAATCGATATCAAGCGTTTTTATTTAAATTATATCTGCTCACATCTATATTATAGAATGAAAAATATAATACCCTAAACCTTCGTCGTTTTGCAGCTTTGAATTCAACGATTTTAATAACAAATTATTACATTTTTTTAAATTTAAAACCATATAGTATTCTTTGAATACTAAACATAAATTATAAACAAGGTTAAAATATTAAATTATCTTTGTGTTTATTTAAAGACATACAAATCACCACCAAACTCAATCAAATCACCAAATCACTCAATCAAATCACCAAATTACTCCAACAAAATTCAACTCTGGTTCCGCCCCCTGATTCATCCCTGCCAATTGACATCATATTGATGGAGCTCGTCACGTGCATGAAATGATGTGAACTCTGAAGGTCATTCGCGTGTTACATTTGATGGTGATCCTAATATCCTCTGCAGGTGCTTCTGTCAACCATTGCAGGTGCCCTGCTCTCAACCAACCGATGCGCTGCCCTCCGCATCGGCAATAGTCTAAGCTGAATCATTGTGGTACCTAGCCTGCAGTACTGCTGAGACAACCAACCATCGACATTCAAATTTTTTACATTCGAAATTTATTCAAATGTCGGTGTTAATAATGCATCAATCGAAATCCATCGATGTTTTTAAACTTCTATGTTTTAAAGCTGGTCTAGTAACATGTAATTCGTGCGCAATAGAAATAATTGGGCAGTGGCCGTGTTTATAATTTACAATAAAAATCAGCTGAAAACAGAATCTAAAAAAACAAAGAAACAGAATGTCCGAAATACGACAAAAGACGAAGGGAATACCAGGGTATCATGATTATCTCGGGCGTGAGATAATCTGTTCGATGAAGATTGTGTTCAAACCACATGAACGCGGTTTGCACACAAAGACACAGTGGTACAGTCAGTTATTTCATATTTTTACTTTTACAAAATTGTGATTATGGAAATTTTCATCCACGAACAACTATGTTCAAAATACGTAACTTCAATATATCGATGTTAAAAAGATCGATCTTTAAATCGAAACAACAATATTTTAAAAACTTGCAGTACTGCAAGAAAATTGTGATGCGATTATGGCTCACTAGTCCTATACATATGAAACTTAAATACGTCCGTTTTAAAATTAAGCATGCACGTATCTCTGTGGGTAGTGGTGTGACTGTAATGTTTGCGTATCACCATGTAGCATCTAATGAATAACTTTTCCTGCGCTATTGAGAGGGTGATTTGGTATGCCTGAAGACAGGGAAACTAAATCGAATTATAATTATATAGTAAATAGCTAGATAGATATAGTAAATGGGTAGATAAGTAGAGCGGCTTGCTTATCACATATCGTCCGAGTCCACGACCGTCAGGCTGGAACACCATGACAATAATCAATATTATATGTTGCATATAAACTTGAACTGATAAAACGTGCATAAAATTTCAAAATACTATCGTACTCGTGGGAGAACTCACGCATGTTAAATTACACTCTATACCCTATCTTTCCATTTCCATATTAAGAGGGGAAATTGTTCTACAAAACGTGTTTATTTGTTAAAAAATTAAAAAGGTAACTCTAATGTACTTAGAGAATTTAAAATTAAAATAAAGAACATTGAAATTGACGTTTGAAACAAATTTTGAATAAAGGTTTATTCTATATTATAGACATTAAACAATTCACAACTCTTCTTAGAAACAGCATTTGAATTAATTACACTATCTTCCTTGACAGCCCTCTGCTATCCTTGATAGTCACAAAAATTTCACAAAAACTGTTTACTCTCGAAAAAGCCATGTTAAGTTGTCCATGCGAAAATACAGGAAAATAATCAAGGAATAACCCTACTCTTAGGAATATTATTTAACTTTATTACTGAACTGAGAGATACACACGCGTAATTTAATCGCCTAAAATATCAAGTAATTAGTTTCATTTCAAAACTAGTTGCAGATTCTGTAAAAGCTGTAGATTATATCACAAACCTTTCAACAGAAACAAGAATGTCAATACTTACTTACATTCAATAAATGAACGGTTACACTACACACATAAAAAGCAACCTTCATCAATGAAGTCGTAGGCTGCCGCGACCAGAGTCATGTATGTGATCTGGGCTGTCCGGGTGACGCCGCGTCGAAGGCTGAGTTGCCGACGTTTCGACCATCCTGTCGTGGTCTTCCTCAGGAGTTGGCATACCAGGATGGTCGAAACGTCGGCAACTCAGCCTTCGACGCGGCGTCACCCGGACAGCCCAGATCACCCAACCTTCATCAATATCAAGCAACTATTAATACTTCTTGTTGCTGCGAGAGCATTTATGTTGATTTGCATAATTTTGAATTATTAATTATGCAAATAAACCTCATTAGTCTGACAAACCACGGTGGACATAGAAAACATACTCGTACATATAAGTTGGAAAAACGTAAGCACGACGTCACAAACTAAGATCGCCTCCAGCGCCGAGTAATTTAGTTGGTATTGGATAATATCGATAAGCGCCGGACCAGGAAAAACGTAATAGAATGACCAAGAATATCGTATCCTCTAGATTACGGTGTAAGAAGCCTTTCTTTGAGGCCTCGAAGTTTCAAGTTTTAAGGCCCTAAAACGCTTCTTTTAAGAGTTATTCAACTATAAATATATTTTTTAAATGTCGAGCGTTGCGGGTTGCATTTGAATTGAATTTTTAGATGCATTTTGTCAATAAATCCTCCATTTTTAAAGTCAAAATACAATTCGTCACATCTCCATGTAATTCTTTCTTTAGAGACCTCATTTATAAATATTGGTTGCCTGTGAGAGTCGCAAAAGGTACTGAAACAATATAGGAGGAGATTGTGCTAACAATTATTCGCTGTATTCAACGTATCAACTCAATATTTGGAAGCCTTATCGGGATGTTTTAAAAAGCGGTCAGAACGGCCGGTCACTGTCGGCACTCGGCTATACGTCGACATTAAATTGACAATGAAAATATTTCCCATTCCGACAAAATAACTTTTTGATAAATATTTAAGTACATGAAGTATTTATTTTTTCACTGATACGATATTGCTTGTTATTGCCCACGATAAGGAGCTCGATATTACTATAACTAGGAGGGGGAGGGGAGAGAGAGGAACGTGGAGAAGTGGGAAATATGGGAGCAGTTGCATGCTGTTACATGTTCTCCTACGGAGGGAATCATGAAAAGGAGTAATGGGAGGGGAATAAGAAATTACGCAGTTAAGTTAACAACTAGTTAATCAATAAATATGAATTATTAAAATTAGGTAGAAAATAAAATCATGTATGTACGACGGGCGTTGACTGGTTCTGATGCTCTCGGGCGTTTTGTCTCCACTGGATCGTTAGAACCCTTATAAGGGTCTCGGTGCATAAATAACTATTTCCTTTCGATAACAGAAACTGAAGAGGTAATGTTGGTATCGTCACTCCATAGCCACTGGGCGAGCGAGTGGCCGAGGCCCAGATAACGAAGGGGCGCCCCAGGATAGGACGGGCGCCAGCC